TATATGGTATGATAATAATAATAATAATAATAATAATAATAATAATAATAATAATGATAATAATAATAATAATGATAATAATGATAATAATAATAATAATAATAATAATAATAATAATGATAATAATAATGATAATAATGATAATAATAATAATAATAATAATGATAATAATAATGGTAATGATAATAATAATAATGATAATAATGATAATAATAATAATAATAATAATAATAATAATAATAATAATAATAATGATAATAATAATAATGATAATAATGATAATAATAATAATAATAATAATAATAACTAGAGCCACACGTGGCACAGAGTGGGACTTTGCAAATGTAGCAAATTGCAAAAGACTCTGAAAAAATCAACCTTCTACGATAATTACATCACGCGCAAGAGCAGTCTAAAGTTGAGAAGAATTCTTTGGAAGATTGTTATAACGGAAGTAGACAGACCGCACAAATGAAAGTATCAGAAGATAGCCAAGGTCAATGACATTTGACATTGAAAGGGAGACGGTCAACAAAGGTCAAGGTTACGAGATAAAAGTCATCAAAATTTTTAAATATATACGGCTATAAAACCGGAGGTTGAGATAGGACAGCAAATATAAAAGTATAAATAGATAGCCAATGTGAATGACCTTTAATACTACAAAAATCAGGGTCAAAAAAGGTCAAGGTCAAAAATTGAAAATTTTGAATTTTCAAAAGCTGTTCCTTTTTTTGAACTATAAAGCTGAAACAATCGAACTTCCAAGAAAACGTGGCTCAACGTATGAAGTAATTGTATGCAAAGTTCAAAACTCAAATTTGAAAAATTCACGAATTTCAATTTTGCTTTAAAAAACGATTGTTATAAATCATTTGAAAGAGCATGAAAAGCACATTAAGAATCCGAAAAAATTAACCCTCTAGGTTAAATAGGTCACGTGCTAGAGCAGTCCAAAGTTGCGAATTTGGCTGTTTTCGGACAGCTATAAAACCGGAAGTACATGTCGGATGTCAAATGTCAAAGTATTAACTGATAGCTAAGGTCAATGACCTTTGACCTTATGAAGGTCAAGTTCATCAAAGTTCACGATCACGAGATATGACACTTCAAACTTTGAAAAAATTCAACCGGATGTTGCAAAAAAGCAAAATTGAGAATCGAAAAACGGCTTCCTAATGTCATGTTTTTTTTTTATCTTCTTTCATTTGACACCAAAATCATTTAAATCGGATGAGCCATTATGTCTGAATAAAAATCGAATCATTTCAGAAAAATCAAAATGGCGGCCAAAGTTTCACGTTTGTTCCGGATTTTTTTTTCTTCGTTTTTTTGTCATAACTTTGTCTACCTATCAGCATAAAAATTTTTGTCCTATACAAATTACACCGGAAGATATTCAACCGGAAGTGAACATCGTTTTCCTGTTTAAACCGGAAGTGAAATTGAAAATTTGACTGTACCATTTTGTTTACATTCTTAAACTGTCTTTGCTCAATTTTTTTCAGATTAATCAGACAAAAAGCAAAAAAAATGAAAAAAATGCAAAATTTGGCAAAAAAAATGTCTGCGACAAATTTTCAAATTTTGAAATTTTGAAACTGCTATTCTTTCAGATTTTAACAGTAGATTCCAAAAATGCAAACCCAAAGAAAATCGACCGAAAAATACGACTTCTAGAGCCGATTATCTATTCTTGCATATATTGAACTGTGGCACTTCCGGTTTTGCAAAAAAGATCCAAAATATATTTATGCACTTCGTCGCCTATATCTAAGGTTCGTGAATGTTGAATGGTTGCTGCAACTATTGTAGTCTAAGCTCAGGAAGGTCTTACATTCTACACCTTATAGACAATACAACTGATAGACCTGTCTTACATTCTACCCCTTATAGACAATACAACTGATAGACCTGTCTTACATTCTCCGCCTTATAGACAATACAACCAAAACATACAATAAATTATTACATATTGAAACAACAAACAATGCGATATTGCAACAATGGGGTATTTGAATATAGATCTATACATTAGGTTATTTGAAAATGACTACTCCTTATCTAGTTTTCTAGAATAATCAGAATAATCAAGGGTCTGTTTTGAAAACTCAAGACAATTTATACAAACTTAGATGTATTGACCAATCAGATTACAGTATTTTATATAATATGGAATTTTTTCAAGAATAAGGCCACTGATTTAAAAAATCATCGAAAAATACAAACTGGAGACTAAATAGTCACTTCAGTTTGGGTCTAACGACTGCCCTCTTGAATGTTGTCAAATTAAACTTTTGACCTAACCTGATAAACACTGCATTACAAAATACCAGCGCTGGAGAGGGTAGAAATTTGAGTAAAAGCAGATATCATCGATTTAGGTCAAAAGGTTAAATTGATGAATGTTCTTGAGGGCTGTCGTTGGAAGTGGCTATATTAACAAGTGGTTGCCCAGCAAGACACACCCTCTTTCCAGATACATTTTCAGTATATCAAGGGCGATTTTTTACTTGTCCATTATTACTTTTTTACTTAGTTTTTTCTATGGCAGATTCTTTTTTGAATGTTTACCCATGTGTTGTGCTATAGAGTATCCACATTATTCGGATCAACAAAAATGGACCAGTAAAAAACTTTGTGAAATGGTTTGTGTGTCTTCTATTTTATTGATCACTTTCTTAAACCTTTGGACCCCCTGTATCTTCCTTAGCCTGGGCTATTGAACGATCATCATTTTATGAAGCCATATTGGATTTTTACCATGAGAAGAATGATGGAATGTTACTTAGCAACTACCAAGGAAAGTGACATCATTGAACTTCAACTGACATTTCAAGTGTGTCTGTCTCTGAGGAAGCCTTTGCGCTCTTGAAACATGTTGGACTTTAGGACTACTTAGTTTTTGCTATAGCAGATTATCTTTTTGAATGTTTACTCATTATAATGTGGGCGTATAAAAATAAAAGCTAATAAAACAATAGAAGAAAAGTTTGGTTAGATACAGATACAAACTGATGAGAGTTATTTACCTTAGAATCAACGTTGCCACCAACCACCACAAACTGAATATCTCCGTTTATCCACATATCATAGCAACCAAGCATGGCTGACGATGATTCTCGACTCACGTTGGATTGGATCGTGTCATATTTCGGATCACTCTGCAGCAAATTGGAGTTATTTCTAGTTTCTTTAGGAAAAGAAACAGATTTTGGTTGGTCTGTCTCATCCAGTGCTGAAACAAAAGATCGAAATTAGTGGCTTTTTTCTGAACATGGACCAGAAGCATTAGTTAATGACAAAACATTTACCCATCAGATTTGGATTCTAGAACAACCACATGTGGCTATTCATCCAACCTCCCTTCTGATTTATAGTAAATTAATGGGACTTATCTCCCATGCCTATCTACCTCTTTTACTCTATAAAAATCATGTGACTTACGTGTTTCATCTTCTGAGTCAGAAGAGAAACTGAAAGTAGGGTTGTTGTCTCTGTTTCGATTACGTAGTGATCGGGATGAAGAGTTATTCCTCGATCGTAATTCAAAAATCTCATCGTCTTGTTCAGCCATCTTGTATCTTTATATACTAAAAATAGAAGATCGTAAATATAAGATAAAATAAACAAATTAGGATCAAATCAGACATTTGTATCTATATGTTCCAGAGTTCTTCCATCTTGTATTATTTCTATTTTATATGTTTTTTTTATATATGACAAAGTCTCCAGAAAAAACGAGTTGTCATTTTAACTGGCAGACCCCGATAATTCTGAATGCATGTGGATTGTAAGTCTTAAATTTCAACGGTGAACTGTGAATACTATTACTGATTGGCTAAGCTAGAAATTTCCGTTTCTGAGACTGAAGTATGATTGGTAATGATGGATGTCCCTACAATCTAGTCAGATTTTGATTCGGCAAATCTCGTTTAGAGCAAACTCGGATTAAAAGAATTTCTAGTCACATACGATTGGTTAAAATAAGTTATGTAACATTCTAATTGTTTCTTATACCACGTACTCTATCGTAGGCTTACCTCTTTATAAATTTTTATCATATAAAAAAAAAGAGCAGAAATATATCATCATTGGGTGGGGTCCGTGGGGGCAGGGCAGCCCCGTCGTTAGGGTGGGATCCGTAGGGGCTGAACCCAAGCAAGTGAGAATTAAGCCCAGCAAAACCTTCTTCAGTCCAGCAGAGATTGATTCATTTACAATGTCTTTGAACAAAATCAAACAGATATAGATTTTGATATGTTTTTGGCACCTTAATATTGCCAGAAATGAGTTCTATTGGCCTTTAATTCTTCAAATTTTCTGAGTACAAAATCTGAACCCCAGCACCAATTCATTCCCGGCGACGGGGCTGGTCCGAACCACCTGAGACACTTGACAACTTTTAACAAAGAATAACTTTACATAATTTTAGACGATATACATAGCAAGTTCTATACCAATTAATTCTAACTGTGGTCTTTTCAGCCAATATGAGGCTTGATATCATAAATTAGAAAAATATACCTGTATTATTACACCTTTTACAGCAGAATGACCTGGATTTTTTCCCTAATGACCTAATTCTATCCAGTTTGACCTACTTGTACTCAGAATGACCTAGTTTCCACCAGAATGACCCAATTCTAATGGATATTGATGATATAAAAGTGAACTGGTATTTCGTAGAAACAGTTTTAAATCATACAGTTTAAGCTCTGTAGGAAAATCAATTAAGCATTGAGCACATCCAGATTAACAATCGGGTGAACATGAATTTGTCAAACCATGATACATTTACATCATGAGTTATCCCGTAAAAAATGAAATGAATGGAGTTTTACATCCTAGTTTTCTGCACCTGATAGGGTTAAAAAAGATCAGAGTTAAACCATAGACCATAGATAATTTTCAACCATAAAGTTCTATCTATAATTCCATAGCTTCATCCATCTGCACTAACTTACAAGTTAATATGCAAATCAAGCGAAAGATTTGACGATAAAAATATGTTATTAAACTTAATAGTGTATCTTTTCAATGTTATCTGACTATCAGCTAATAAACAGGGCATGAATTCATTGACTTGTCAGGTTATGATTTTATGTTGCTAAGTTACCGATGCACTATCTGTGATATTTTTGTTGTCTTCTCTTCTAAAAATAAATTAAGATTCAGAAATTCGGTAATTAGACTAATTATGAGAGGTTTTCCGAACTTTGTATATGTATCGTTACACTAGTAGAATCAATTTTTACGCGTTCAATTTTCCGTCTTTCTGGATCTAGCATTTCCATAAAACTAAGCATTATAGTTTTTCTATATTAATCGGAACCACAGACATCCGATGGAAAAAAAGAGTGAAGAGTAAAGCCAGTCCCGTCGTGGGGTGGTGCCGTCGTTGGGTGGTGACATGGGTTCATGGTCCCCAGAAAGTGGGAATTAAGCCCCAACAAAATCTTTTTCAGTTCAGCAGAGATTGACTCAATTACAGTGTTTTTGTACAAAATAAAAATAATAGATTTTGATACGTTCTTGGCACCTCAAAATGGTCAGAAATGAGTTCTCTGAGCCTTGGATTCTTCAGTTTTCTGGGGCTAGTCCTAACTGTTATACTGCTAATATAGGGTTGTCTTAAAAATCTATACAATTCAAGTCAATCAAAAATCTCATCCAAAGAATAGCAAAATTGAGAGTAACAATTGTCTAGTAGTGGAATCCTCCAAAGAGAAGTAACATCAGGTGTTTCGAAAAAAGTAAACATGGTCTGCTTCACGTGTTTTATAATTTCCCACAATAAGAAAAAGTATAGAAAGTTTGAATATATGAGGCCTGGTTTAATAGTTTGTTATTTTTCATAAACAATCTCCACAGCCAGATATTATCACTGTATATTAAACATATAACAACAATAACAATATGATAACTATAGCCCCAGGCAGGGAGCTTAAAGATGGTATACAAGTCAGCACAAAGCAATAGGAGTTCTACAAGCTGTGAGTTTGGGTTTGTCTCTTTGAACCCTTTTCTGACGTTTTTGAGGTACCAAAAACCCGATCAAAACTTTTATCTTTTTTAATTTGTACAAAGACACTGTAAACGAATCAATTTCTTCTGAACTGAAGAAGATTTTGCGAGGGCCTGGCCCTCATGGACCCCACCCTAACGACGGGGCTGCAAGTGTATTGTCAATCTTAAAGACTCTGTGCTGAGTTGAAAAGGAATCTGATATCAATAATCAATCTGATTAAAATAAAGGTCTAGATGTATTGTCTGTTGCGTATATTTTCTCTGTAAAGTCGAACCAAAGAATACCAAAGTCTCAAAACCAGTCGGAAAATCCATGGACTGGACAAAATCGGGTGAAAAAACAATTGGTAAACAACATCCCGGAAATAAAACTAAATAAAAGTGGACCTCTCAAGAGAGGTAGTATCAGATGGTCCAGAAAGAGTGAGTATAGTGAGTAGAGTTTTTCGGGCAAAAATCTCATAAGTAGGTTAAATATTTCGGGCAATCTCAGATATCCTCCCCTCTCAAATGTAAATGTGGCTCCGCCTCTGAGCTAGGGACTTCCTTTCAATTGACCATGTGCTCAATGATATACAAGTATTTATATCCATCCTAAATATTTTAAGGTTTTATCTACTGTTTAACTGATTGTCCATTCCTATTACAAATAATTGATAAAATTTGATTCACAAAAGTAAAAACAATACTTGACTGTCAATTTTAAAATATGTTTAGTTCATAAAGATCATTGCTCCGGTCTTGAACTAGGTCAAGAATACTAAGTTTAACTTTGTTGTACTAAGTCTTACTTTGTTGTACTAAGTGGGCCAAATAAGATAACAAAGCAGCTGATATTCCGCAACAAATATGGAAAATTACAGACATTTTAGTGATTGGCACGGGAACTTACTTACCTAATAAAGTGCTCCTAATACTGAAAATATAATTCCACGATCTAAAACAAGCAGATATTTGAGTTCGTGTGAAAAATAAATGAATTATTTATAAAATTACTACATTTTCAAGCACTTCGGTCCAAATTTTCCTCAAATTTCCAATTTATCAGCTGAACAACCCAAAGGAATTAGCCATAATATAAATCTACATGATGCCACGAATTCTTCAACTTAATATCATCAACAATATCCAGAAATACGAAGAAATAATCCACAATATTTACAAATATCCATCAGATTCGGTTTAGAGCAGTTTCTGTGTGTTAGACACGATTATCACTAAAACAAACTGTGAAGACTAGAGACAGGACTGGATAATCAAACCGGGGAAAAATCCCAATGACTTAATTAGCAAGACGGTGAGTGGAAAATGCCGAACGTTGAAAAAATGCAAATCCTCAAAATTGCCAAATTGGGTCTAAATGATGATCGCATGGTAAATTTTAGATTCGGTTTTAATCATTAGAAAATAATTGTGTGTTCTTTAATGGAAATTAGAAAAAGTAATTGTGGGCAACTTGGTGAATTATCCCAGCATTCTCAGGTAAGAGATTCCTACATTAACATTTAATTCCACCTGGAGACAATGGGACGCAGCCGCTCCTTTTATTTTCTAATTATAATAAGTTAAAACGTATATTGTGGTTGCATTAGGTCATAATAAACAGATGACTCAACATTTATTGTCTGATTTTCACCAATTATTTTTGTATAAATTGAAATATCACCTTCAAAGATCCATTACAGAGAATTGAGAGAGAGAGAAGAATAAATCAACTCCAGAGAATATTTTATTATTTACATATAATATAAACAATATATATAAATATTACATAGAATTATTACAGCAGATTCTAAAAGATAAGAGAGAGATAACTCTAGGCAGGTCTAGTTAGAAATAAATTTGGGAAAAATCGGAGAGCTTCGATAGTTTCATCTCGACAAACACCACCCACTTTCTCGGTTAATAATAATCTGAAATAACAATCAATAAAAAAACATAATAAATATCAAACAAAGACAGGGGGAATGAGTTTCACATCCATCAGACAGGGGGAATGAGTTTCACATCCATCAGACAAGGGGAATGAGTTTCACATCCATCAGACAGGGGGAATGAGTTTCACATCCATCAGACAGGGGAAAAATAACAATCAATAAAATGAAATGAAGAGGAATTTCTACTCCCAAATACAAACTCAAATTTTTTAGGATCAAATTCATAACAGCCCTGGTCTTGATTTAGAAACATAATTTTATGGTAGATTTACTTCTCCTTAGTTTTATTGAACACAACATTTCTACAATTTACATTGTGATGAACAGTGTTCATGGTATGTTACCCTTGTGTTTTATTGTATCAATATTGAACGAACCTTTCCTTGGCGAGTAAAACAGAAACACCGAGACATTGAGCTAGTTCTTCTGCTGTACAATTTCCATTCTCTCCAACCTGTAAATAATATTCATATAAAAATATAATCGCAAAGAGAAAACAGATGTAGAGTTAGTTAATCAATATTATAGAATAAACACTAGACAATATTATATAATAAACACTAGACAATATTATAGAATAAACACAAGACAGTATTAAAGAATAAACACAAGACAATATTATATAATAAACACTAGACAATATTATATAATAAACACTAGACAATATTATAGAATAAACACTAGACAATATTATAGAATAAACACTAGACAATATTATATAATAAACACAAGACAATATTATAGAATAAACACAAGACAATATTATATAATAAACACTAGACAATATTATATAATAAACACTAGACAATATTATAGAATAAACACTAGACAATATTATATAATAAACACTAGACAATATTATAGAATAAACACAAGACAATATTATATAATAAACACTAGACAATATTATAGAATAAACACTAGACAATATTATATAATAAACACTAGACAATATTATAGAATAAACACAAGACAATATTATAGAATAAACACAAGACAATATTATATAATAAACACTAGACAATATTATAGAATAAACACTAGACAATATTATAGAATAAACACTAGACAATATTATAGAATAAACACTAGACAATATTATATAATAAACACTAGACAATATTATATAATAAACACTAGACAATATTATATAATAAACACTAGACAATATTATAGAATAAACACAAGACAATATTATATAATAAACACTAGACAATATTATATAATAAACACTAGACAATATTATAGAATAAACACTAGACAATATTATAGAATAAACACTAGACAATATTATATAATAAACACTAGACACTATTATATAATAAACACTAGACAATATTATATAATAAACACAAGACACTATTATAGAATAAACACAAGACAATATTATATAATAAACACTAGACAATATTATAGAATAAACACTAGACAATATTATAGAATAAACACTAGACAATATTATATAATAAACACTATACAATATTATATAATAAACACTAGACAATATTATGGAATAAACACTAGACAATATTATAGAATAAACACTAGGCAATATTATCTAATAAACACTAGACAATATTATATAATAAACACTAGACAATATTATATAATAAACACTAGACAATATTATAGAATAAACACTAGACAATATTATATAATAAACACTAGACAATATTATAGAATAAACACTATACAATATTATAGAATAAACACTAGGCAATATTATATAATAAACACTAGACAATATTATATAATAAACACTAGACAATATCATATAATAAACACTAGTCAATATCATATAATAAACACTAGACAATATTATAGAATAAACACTAGACAATATTATGGAATAAACACTAGACAATATTATAGAATAAACACTAGACAATATTATATAATAAACACTATACAATATTATATAATAAACACTAGACAATATTATGGAATAAACACTAGACAATATTATAGAATAAACACTAGGCAATATTATCTAATAAACACTAGACAATATTATATAATAAACACTAGACAATATTATATAATAAACACTAGACAATATCATATAATAAACACTAGACACTAGACAATATTATATAATAAACACTAGACAATATTATATAATAAACACAAGACAATATTATATAATAAACACTAGACAATATTATATAATAAACACTAGACAATATTATATAATAAACACAAGACAATATTATATAATAAACACTAGACAATATTATATAATAAACACTAGACAATATTATATAATAAACACTAGACAATATTATATAATAAACACTAGACAATATTATATAATAAACACTAGACAATATTATATAATAAACACAAGACAATATTATATAATAAACACTAGACAATATTATATAATAAACACTAGACAATATTATATAATAAACACAAGACAATATTATATAATAAACACAAGACAATATTATATAATAAACACTAGACAATATTATATAATAAACAAACTTCTTTAATAAAAATATTAAACACATTACGTTTCAACACAAATTAAACGTGTCATCATCAGTTGAAATAATGAATGATATCAAGACTATACTTGTAGATAATCAGAAAACTGATGGAATGCTAGGAAATTCCTACCAATCACAATATTGTCTTGCTGTGAAATTAAATAATTTCTAACTTGTAAACTTACGTAGTTAGTAGTGTGTGCTATGACTTGTTCTTCATCTTGACTCTTACTTTGTAAAACCAAGACACCACTATCAAACGTACGCAATCTGGAAGTAAAATAAGAATTATCAGACTTGTTATAACAATCTTACCAATTCAACATCTTAATATAATGATAGCTTGCCAGGCATTCAGGCAAGGTAACATACGCCCATTGGCAGCTGTCAGTAATGATAAAACAGTCTTCAGTGACTAAAGTATGAATTTTCTCATATTGAACATCTTAATATAAAATATACAGTTGTTTTAAACTCCAGGTATTCAATTATTCAACGAAAAATTGCCCAAAATAAAAAAAATCAATAAGCATCTCTACTTCACTTTGTGCACATTTTCTAAATCTAAATGTAACATTAGCCCTTATAAGTGAAAGAGATGTGTTCTAAAGTAGGTATGTATTAAAACTAAAGAATTTCTGTGAAACAAGGTGATATCGAGATCAGTAAGTACCAGTTTTGTAGTTTTTGTTCATTAGAAGGATCGCATACATGGTCAAACCACAAACCACAAACCAAATCAAAGCTAACACTCTATGTTAGTGTATAAAAATTGTACAAACCTGATGGGTAAATTTAAAACTTCCATCAATTCACAGGCATGTAGTAGATCTTCAGGGGACAATAACTGGAATAGGAATAATAATTCACAATCAATTTAAACTATATCTCTGGACTAGGGATTCTGTAGCACGAATGGCCACAGCATTGGAATCATTGGTCATTGGTTGTAATCTTTGTCATTGTGTTCACTCACTCAACCCAGCTAGAAATGGGTCCTATAATCCAGAATGATCAATGCCACAGGGTTTGACCAAGGACAAGCTGTGTGGGGGGGGGGGGGGGATAAAAAACAATTGATATTACCTCCATGCCTCTGGCTCTGTTGACTCTACAATAAACATCAGTTAGAGTCATCATACCTCCACTCTCCTATAATATAGATAGTAGATAATCTTTTCAATCACAATCATTAATCTCTATCAGAATCATATAGATTTATCCAACACCTTGCACAGTCAGTAGAGAGTTGGATTGTCGTCTGCCAGGACAGTGGAATAGCTCAGTCAGTAGAGAGTTGGATTGTTGTCTGCCAGGACAGTGGAATAGCTCAGTCAGTTCAGTCCCTAGCGAGTTGGATTGTCATCTGCCAGGACAGTGGAATAGCTCAGTCAGTAGAGAGTTGGATTGTCGTCTGCTAGGACAGTGGGATAGCTCAGTCAGTAGAGAGTTGGATTGTCGTCTGCTAGAACAGTGGAATAGCTCAGTCAGTAGATAGTTGGATTGTTGTCTGCTAGAACAGTGGAATAGCTCAGTCAGTAGATAGTTGGATTGTCATTTGCTAGGACAGTGGAATAGCTCAGTCAGTAGATAGTTGGATTGTCGTCTGCTAGAACAGTGGAATAGCTCAGTCAGTAGATAGTTGGATTGTCGTCTGCTAGGACAGTGGAATAGCTCAGTCGGTAGATAGTTGGATTGTTGTCTGCTAGAACAGTGGAATAGCTCAGTCAGTAGATAATTGGATTGTCGTCTGCTAGAACAGTGGAATAGCTCAGTCAGTAGAGAGTTGGATTGTCGTCTGCCAGGACAGTGGAATAGCTCAGTCAGTAGATAGTTGGATTGTCGTCTGCTAGGACAGTGGAATAGCTCAGTCAGTAGATAGTTGGATTGTCGTCTGCTAGGGCAGTGGAATAGCTCAGTCAGTAGATAGTTGGATTGTCGTCTGCAAGGACAGTGGAATAGCTCAGTCAGTAGATAGTTGGATTGTCGTCTGCTAGGGCAGTGGAATAGCTCAGTCAGTAGATAGTTGGATTGTTGTCTGCTAGAACAGTGGAATAGCTCAGTCAGTAGATAGTTGGATTGTTGTCTGTTAGAACAGTGGAATAGCTCAGTCAGTAGATAGTTGGATTGTCGTCTGCTAAGACAGTGGAATAGCTCAGTCGGTAGATAGTTGGATTGTTGTCTGCTAGAACAGTGGAATAGCTCAGTTGGTAGCAAGTTGGATTGTTGTCTGCTAGAACAGTGGAATAGCTCAGTCAGTAGATAGTTGGATTGTCGTCTGCTAGGACAGTGGAATAGCTCAGTCAGTAGATAGTTGGATTGTCGTCTGCTAGGGCAGTGGAATAGCTCAGTCAGTAGATAGTTGGATTGTTGTCTGCTAGAACAGTGGAATAGCTCAGTCAGTAGATAGTTGGATTGTTGTCTGTTAGAACAGTGGAATAGCTCAGTCAGTAGATAGTTGGATTGTCGTCTGCTAAGACAGTGGAATAGCTCAGTCGGTAGATAGTTGGATTGTTGTCTGCTAGAACAGTGGAATAGCTCAGTCGGTAGAGAGTTGGATTGTCGTCTGCTAGGACAGTGGAATAGCTCAGTCGGTAGAGAGTTGGATTGTCGTCTGCTAGGGCAGTGGAATAGCTCAGTCAGTAGATAGTTGGATTGTCGTCTGCTAGAACAGTGGAATAGCTCAGTCCCTAGCACAGGCACGGGCAGTGCTTCTGAGAGTTGGCCTGTTGTCAGCTTTCATCCTCAATCACCAAGGATCAATGTACAGTAGTGTCTTAACATAGTTCTTATCGATCGTTGTATTATGATATATGGTAGTTTTGTATCGTACCAGCCACTAACACCACCCCCTCCCCCCCCCCTCCCCTTATCACCCACAATAACCCCTTATCATTGTACCAGCACCCTTTCACCTACCTCGACAGGTTTAGTAAGAACTGTAGAAAGTTGTCGAGCTAGTTCTGTATAGTATTTATCTCCAGTACCGTGCGTTTCCCTGGTAACAGGATTCGGGATACCCATAGACAATAAATATGATTTAAATTTTCTAGTCTGAAATGGTAAAATGTACGAATTTTAAATTTACTTATTTTGGTTGCTGGACCATTGATATGATCTAGTATTGGTCTAATTAGGCCCCGAAGTTGCCACAATTAGTTGAAATTTAGTCTATTTTATTCACCAGTCGTCATTGAATTTTTTTTTCAACTAGTTGAAAACCATTATGCATGTAATTGTATCATGAAATATGGTGCTCAATACTTTTATTAGCTTAGCTTTCTGGACAGTTAAGCTTTAGGGTCCTAAAGAGATGGTGTCCTTTACTGATTTTGAATCAACAGTCAAGCTTTTATCATGTATGGAATATGTAGTGTTAGACTATTAGTGCCATTCTGCATCATAAATTAAATGCATATCTTTGAAAGTTCCTTAATTGAATAGTTAGCTGAATACAATCAAGTATGTTCAGTATAATAATGTAATATATATATAAAATTATATAGTTAATAACTGAATAGCACATTGATTTATTTACATAGCAGTTGATGAAATTGCAATTTTAGTTGCAAACATCAAAACAATCTACTCGAGTCAGTCACAATTTCATTTCGATTGTATGTGAGAATATAAATTTGGAATCTTTTTAACAAAGAATAATTGTTTCTATAATTCTAAATAAACCATTCACCTCATTCTCTGTGATATCACCCTGTTTCTCTTTTATTTTAGTGGCGATACTTTTAGTTAACGACACCATTTCCTTGGCCTACAATAAAACACAAAGAAAACAAAATATCAAGACAATGTTATCTTCTTACTAACTTCGTATAATCCTTATTTCAACAGTTAGGAACGATAAATCATTTGGTAAAAAGGTACTTAAGTTGTATTTGTTTGGGGGGCCCCCTTCCTCAGAGACAGACACACTTGAAATGTCAGTTGAAGTTCAATGATGTCACTTTCCTTGGTAGTTGCTAAGTAACATTCCATCATTCTTCTCATGGTAGGAATCCAATATGGCTTCATAAAATGATGATCGTTCAATTAACTATGATGCAGTTGTCCAAAAGTTACAGAATGATTTCGTTACAGAGTTTCCACATTACTTAAAGGATCATCTCAATTTTGACTAGTAAAAACTTTGTGAAAAAATTGTCAGTCATGTCCGGAAAATACAATCAACAGTTCCTCGGTTTGATAAAAATCTGTACAAGAAAGACAATTCCGTTTATCAAAATCTCGTCCATAGTATGGGAAAGTGGAGTGTAAAAGTTTTATGGCGTGAAAAGAATAAGTATGAGATTCTACGCACAATATTGACACTACCTGTTGTATGAGTTTATTTAAATCTTCGAAAGCCACAGAGATTTGTTTATTAGTGTGGGTGTTTTTCTGTTGAATTGATCTTTCAATTCCTACGATACCAGGACGGTGACGAGCCGACTGAAAAATACAAAATTTTTTTTATTAAAATTGATATTTTAATGATCTTTAACCAATTGTAAATAAGTCGGCCATTCTCGCTACCCCTGACAATAACCTTGTAAGCATCTGGTGGATAAATCCGACTACTTTCAAATATTAGGTCATGTGACAATAGCTTAATTTCGTCTCCATTGTTGACATCTGACTAGTCTCTGACACCCAGACTTCTATCTACGACGAGGATAGTCTTCAAGGGAGATAACTAACATCTGACGAACTATAGATGTAACTTCTTCCCAACAATTAAAGAAGATTTTTCTTCTAGCTGCATACGAGGTTATTGTCAGACATTGGCTGCTGTAGATACAAATGGATCTTTAACTCGCAATACACATCACAAACTACAGGAGTTTTTTCACTGTCTTGCCATCACCAAGCAATTATGTCACTGGAGTTTTTCTAAAATGTGAAATTTCTCTTTGGAATTGACTTCTAAGCAGAAACTTTTCAGAAAGAAAAACTCACAGTTCCAGTTTGAGATAGTGGTGCTGATGTTTGTTCCCATTTCTTGGCTTGTAGAGCTTCATCTAAACTTCTTAATATCTTAAAACATACAAAAACATTTCAAATTAACACCATGTAAATCCCTTACAGAAAAATCAAATCAATTATTAAGTCTTCTAAATGATGTGTTTCTCTCAGTAATCCTGATATGATCAAAGATTAATAACGAAAGGTTTTTATCCTTATTGATGAACATGTAATAGAATTCATTTGATAAAAACCTTGCCAATACAATCAAATTTTCACCAATTTTTTGTAGTTTTTTTTAAACTTTTTTTTTTTAAATTATGCCCTGATATCGATCAACAAAACAATAATAAGCCCTTCCCCTTAATTCTTACGTCGTGTTCTCCAGACTCTCTAAAAGACAGTCTAATATAACTGTGGGCGCTGTAAGTCGAGGGACCAGCTGATTTGTTACTTGGTGCAGCACTCAGATGTACAATTATCTTAGCACTGGAAATACAAGACTAAATATATATCAACAAATAAAACAATCTTTCTTACAATTGATTACTTTACATCAAAAGCTCATCAATTTCTCAGAGAGATTGCATTTTATTGGCCAGTTATTTAAATTAGTAGTCATCAGGGTTTCTTATAAAATTCTATATTGTAGAGCTAGGATTCCTAAGCTGCACAAAATGCTTTACAAGCAACATTTTATAACAGACTCTTCGGAGGACTCCACTTCTATACATCTCTCAATTTTGTCAAACTGTAGACAAGATTTTGACAGAATTATCTTGCTAGATTTTTGTGTAACTACATCTTAAAAAAACATTTTAAAAGAATTCTCAAGCCTGTAAGTTAGAAGTAGTAGTCAGCCAGGGTGAAGGCTATTTTCAGTTTGCTATCTTGTCTACAGTAATAACTGAATCTAGGAGAATCACAAAAATAGAGGAGGGAGTAAGTTGTGTTTTCAATTCAGAACTGAACAATTATCCCACCTTTTAGCAAATCCTGACGGTTGTTCTTCAAGATAAATAACAGACAACAATGGTAATGATATCACAGAATTCTACAAAATATAATAAAATCATCAATAATTTCCATTTAGTCTCATTTTGGAATGAAACATTTGTAGATAAGAAAGATAAAGTGTTATACTGATTCAGACAAATACATCTGAGTAAAATCTAATCCATTAGAAAAAAAAAATAATTCTGTATAATTTACTCAAGAATACTGTTCACTATCAATATAATACCGAGACCAGGAGAAACGCGGGGAAAAAATTTACTGACAGGTACATTGATGTTTTGCTACAGTCTTTCTATTGTCTTTTTCCTCAATTTGACAGAGCAGAAAGCAGAGAGCAGTGAACAGAGAGCAGAGAACAGAGAGTAGATAGTAGAGAGTAGAGAGTAGAGAGTAGAGACAGAGCGCAGGAAGCAGAGAGCAAAGAGTAGTGAACAGAGAGTAGAGTGCAGTGAGTAGAGAGCAGAAGGCAGAGAGCAGTGAACAGAGAGTAGAGAGCAGAGAGCAGAGAGTAGAGAGCAGAAGGCAGAGAGCAGTGAACAGAGAGCAGAGAACAGAGAGTAGATAGTAGAGAGTAGAGAGCAGAGCGCAGGGAGCAGAGAGCAAAGAGTAGTGAACAGAGAGTAGAGAGCAGTGAGTAGAGAGCAGAAGGCAGAGAGCAGTGAACAGAGAACAGAGAGTAGAGAGCAGAGAGTAGAGAGCAGAGAGCAGAGAGCAGTGAACAGAGAGTAGAGACCAGAGAGTAGAGAGCAGAGCGCAGGGAGCAGAGAGCAAAGAGTAGTGAACAGAGAGTAGGTAGCAGTGAGTAGAGAGCAGAAGGCAGAGAGTAGAGAGCAGAGAACAGAGAGTAGATAGTAGAGAGTAGAGAGTAGAGAGCAGAGCGCAGGGAGCAGAGAGCAAAGAGTAGTGAACAGAGAGTAGAGAGCAGTGAGTAGAGAGCAGAAGGCAGAGAGCAGTGAACAGAGAACAGAGAGTAGAGAGCAGAGAGCAGAGAGTAGAGAGTAGAGAGCAGAGAGCAGTGAACAGAGGGTAGAGAGCAGAGAGTAGAGAGCAGAGCGCAGGGAGCAGAGAGCAAAGAGTAGTGAACAGAGAGTAGGTAGCAGTGAGTAGAGAGCAGAAGGCAGAGAGTAGAGAGCAGAGAGCAATGAGTAGAGAGCAGAAGGCAGAGAGCAAAGAGTAGGGTTCAAATGAAATTGATCACTTTGATCATTTACTGGATACGTCGATTTTCAATATTGGGAGATCAATTAAAATTGTTTAATAGCATTTGTAGTTCATCATATCGGTAATGTACTATTACTTATAAACAGAAAATTATAACATAATATCCCTTAGATGAATCCTAGAAGTTGACTCAATATGTCTCATGACAGCAAACTTTATAAGCTTACAGCCCTAGCTTTTACTTACCCTGTTTCTGTGATCTCTCCAAATTATTCTATGACTTGTGACACTCAACATCCCATAATCAAAAGATGTCTGAAAATAACATACAAACATACAGTTTAAATTGAAACACATATTGTGACAGTGGGTTCCAGGCTTCCAGCCAGAATTAAATGTTGTCTGAATGCTGTGTTTAGCTCTGTTGACTTTCCCTGAAACAACCTTCAATATCTTGAGAGACTAAACTTGATTTTGGCACTCCAACAGTACTTCATATTAGTCGTATTCTAACATATCATCCTGATAAAATTGTTCAATAGGTAGACATACCCCAACAAATGCAGAGCAAAAACTTGGCTATAAGTTTAAGTCTGTTTAAGGTACAACTACAAGTCTAATATTGGGATGAAGTCTGCAAGTGTCAAGAAAACAATTGTTTTGTCAAATCTAAGCCTATATATATCTTGCCAATGTATCAGTAAGCCATATGAAACCATTTGACAGAGGGCAATTGTGTTCTGATAACAAAATATTATCTCCCTTGAACTGTCTGGAAAAATTTAAGACTTAAAGAGACAAATTCTAGAGTAAATCCGAGCGTTATTACCTTGTCATGACCGTCGTAAATTCCTACACCTCTTTGTTGATCAATATGAACCTCACCATTCATCAGGGAACCGTCCGACCACTCAAAACGGTCCATGATTTGGGTCTTAGAAAAAAAAAATGTCAAGTTTTTTGTGGCGAGTTCGTTTTGTCATGAGAATTGACCAGTTTGTAATTATACATTTTCTAAGAATAGGAAATAGTGGAACTTTTATAAGGATACCTTTCTCATAAAGAAACAAAAATATTAGCATTAATTCGTGATGTATTTTTTCAGATTTTCTTCATACAGAAGATTTTGGTGATTGATAATGTATATTTTGGACAAAACGAAGGTGATTTACTGCCATTATTGGTTTCTTTAGTAGAGAGCTAATAACTTCCGGTATGAATTTTTAATTACATGTATTTTTTTAAAAATAAATTTGCCGTGTTATTACCTTATTGTAATTAATTTCAATCGTGTAGATTTAATAAGTAAGGTTCCGATTTAGTTTTTTTTATAATTCTCTTATGTGATTTCATTTGAGTTTGTCAATGAATTCTATTTTCACACTGAGTCTGTGTAATGCAATGGAACTGGCTAGGAAGTCTAACTCAATTCAGTTGAATGTATTGTTAGGTCATTCTATGTCAACGGCAAGTGCTGTATTTCTATTGAAGAAACTTGTAGAATATAGAGGATGATAGATGGATGGATGTAGAAAGTCTTAATTTTATCTATTTGCCTTTTGTAAGTAGCCTACTGTAAGCTTACGATCATCGGATAGCAGACTAAGCTTATATCATGTCCATACTTTCTCTATCAATCTAGACTGTCACTTGATTGAAAATGCAATTTAATTTTTTCACAGATTTTTAAAGGAGAAAAAAACCTTCAAAATGCCAGCTCTGGTAGAGCGACCCAAATTAACGAAAATGATGTACAAAGTTCTTCAACAACACATTATGGGAGAACGTGAGAGGAAAAAACAAGGTTTGTTTGATTCATGATTATTTTCTTTTGATTGGTGACTTACTGGATATCTGCACGCCACATTGGGATATATTAAACAGTGAATTGATATTTTCTCATATTCTAGTATAATGGTTGAATTTAGGTATATTATAAATTTTACACCTGGAAAGATATGCAACATAAACTAATAATTCAAAATAATTCAATTATTCAACTTAATTTCTTCAGGGAGTTTGTGATTTAGATTATAAGATTTATAATTAGGAGTATTTGATGTTTTTTTAGAACAAGAACAGGATGAAATGATGGAGAGATTAAAAAAAGAAAGGGAATTAAAAAAGAAAAAGGAAGAAAAAGACAATTTAACTTTGGAACAGACAAAAGAACAGGTACTTGAGTGATATTTGAATTAATAATAGTGAGAATCAATTGAACTGCTAGACAATTAGTGGTACCGTAGGTTTATTGATACAGTAGTAAGTTGAAGAAAGTATACACAGGACAGGTACACACTCCATACAGAAACGATGGGCTTGTTTTAATTTCTAGTGTTAATTATCAACAAAATACACTTTTTTTCACAGAATTGGTTGTAATTTTGTGTTTTAGATTCAGAAATTAGAACAGAAGTTAAAAAGTCTATCAGATGATAAACATGTTTTATTTTTAAAACTGAAGAAAATTCTGAATCAGGAGGAAGAAACAAGAAAGAGAGCTCAGATTAAAGAACAAGGGTGAGAAATTCTTGAGTTTATTTTTTTCTTGTAATACACATTAACTTTCAGAAATAGGACCTTCACAATATCAGGTTATTGGTGATTATTCCCCTCTACCAATATATAGATAATAATTATAGAGTTAAAATCTCTACATGACATGAAGATTGTAAAAGAAGATTGTAAAACAAAGAAGAACAATATTATATACAGATTCCTGTATGCGAATTGAATTGAATTGAAAATAAAGAAGCTAAGAAAGTCTCAGTCAAGATAGCTTGTTAGTCATACTGGGGTTTGTGTAAGAGAGAGTGAAAATGAATTTTTCACAAGGTTTTTGTATTTTGTTTTTTATAATTTTATTGTTGTAGAGAAATGAGTTTACAACAAAGTTATACGACCCCGGTACCACCAGGTCATGGGTTACAGGTCGGAGGTCATGCTGTCATGTTACAACAGGCCGTACGACCTCAGATGTACAAACCCACACATATCATGCATGTAAGTTTTTATTGATTAATATTGCCTCACCCTAGGATTGTCCTCTGCTAGGCTATTAGGTGTCATGGGTTCGAATCCTCCTTAAGGAGCCAGTGCCAGTGCTTTTGAGAGTTCTAATTGTTAAGATTTGTACATTATTTTCAAACCACTGAAATGTCAGTTTCCATTTTTAGAAAATGGCTTAAGATGTAAATTTTGACACCAATGTCAAGCTAGCTGTCTGGGGGCTGATTTTGACACCAATGTCAAGCTAGCTGTCTGATAGTTGATTTTGACACCAATGTCAAGCTACCGTAGCTGTCTAGTTGATTTTGACACCAATGTCAAGCTTGCTGTCTGGGAGTTGATTTTGACACCAATGTCAAGCTAGCTGTTTGGGAGTTGTTTTTGACACCAATGTCAAGCTAGCTGTCTGGGAGCTGATTTTGACACCAATGTCAAGCTAGCTGTCTGATAGTTGATTTTGACACCAATGTCAAGCTACCGTAGCTGTCTGATAGTTGATTTTGACACCAATGTCAAGCTACCGTAGCTGTCTGATAGTTGATTTTGACACCAATGTCAAGCTACCGTAGCTGTCTGATAGTTGATTTTGACACCAATGTCAAGCTAGCTGTTTGGGAGTTGTTTTTGACACCAATGTCAAGCTAGCTGTCTGATAGTTGATTTTTAGGGAACCGTACCTCAGAAGATTCATGAGCATCAGACAGCTAGCTATTACCATTTCACCCGTGTTCATTGGCCTACATGGTGCAGAAATGTAGGATGTAAAACTCCATTCATTTCATTTCATATTATTAATATTTCAGATCATAAAGAACTTTGATTATGATAAAAATTCTTTTGTTTAGTCTTATACTATAATATAGTTTCTATGACATTTTTTTCAGCAAGTGAAGAGACAGAGATCACCCTCCCCTACACCATCTCATTCTTCAGCCTCATACCAGACATACGGGGGTCATAGTGAGGCAAAATACGCTCACACAACTTACCAACAGACGGGCAAACAACCAGCCTCACTTCCAACTCTATATCAACATCCACAACCAGACTATGTTAAACGACCACGTTAGTTTTTATTATATTTATATATTACATCAAGGATTTTAGTGTCAGTCTCAGATTAATTAGTCTAACATTTGCTTTATCTTATAAATCAATCAGGGACCCTGTTTTACAAATTTTAAACTTAACCCAGGTGCTATCTATTTATTGATTTATAAAGTAAACCCAGGTGCTATCTATCTATTGATTTATAAAGTAAACCCAGGCGCTATCTATTTATTGATTTATAAAGTAAACCCAGGTGCTATCTATTTATTGATTTATAAAGTAAACCCAGGTGCTATCTATTTATTGATTTATAAAGTAAACCCAGGTGCTATCTATCTATTGATTTATAAACTAAACCCAGGTGCTATCTATTTATTGATTTATAAAGTAAACCCAGGTGCTATCTATTTATTGATTTATAAAGTAAACCCAGGTGCTATCTATTTATTGATTTATAAAGTAAACCCAGGTGCTATCTATTTATTGATTTATAAACTAAACCCAGGTGCTATCTATTTATTGATTTATAAACTAAACCCAGGTGCTATCTATTTATTGATTTATAGACTAAACCCAGGTGCTATCTATTTATTGATTTATAAAGTAAACCCAGGTGCTATCTATTTATTGATTTATAAAGTAAACCCAGGTGCTATCTATTTATTGATTTATAAACTAAACCCAGGTGCTATCTATTTATTGATTTATAAAGTAAACCCAGGTGCTATCTATTTATTGATTTATAAACTAAACCCAGGTGCTATCTATTTATTGATTTATAAAGTAAACCCAGGTGCTATCTATTTATTGATTTATAAAGTAAACCCAGGTGCTATCTATTTATTGATTTATAAAGTAAACCCAGGTGCTATCTATTTATTGATTTATAAAGTAAACCCAGGTGCTATCTATTTATTAATGATTACTATTCAAGTCAAGTGTTTGAATTTTAAACCAGAACTAAGATTGCTATTTTGTTCACCTTTTAGAAGGAGGAAATTACCCCCAATCTCAGACCAGTCATGTGATTTACACCAACCAACCAGGAGCCTCGTATCAACAAGGTGTGACCTACTCTTCTAGCCAATCCCAACCTGGTAAATATCCAGCTGGCCAATCAGCTTTCACGTCTTATCCCAGTCATTACAGTCAGCATCAACAGAAGGTTATTGGTGAAGCGTATTCTCAGGGTTACTCTATACAGAGAGCCCAACAACCAGGTTTGTGTTTCTTTCTCTATATTAACTAGTCCAACAACTCTGACCCCCTCCCAGCCCCTCAGACTTGATATACAGATGTGACTAGATACTAATATCATTATGGGGGTTCATCTCAAACCAAGATTGGGTCACTGTTTTTTGAGAATTTTGTCATAATATCAAATTTGTAATAACTTGTAATGTAGAAGAGTTGGAGGTAATTTCATTTATCATAGCTATCTGTATAGATCTGAACCATACGTAGTTTACTAAGATATTACAAGATAATCTACATTATCCCAGTAACACACATCAGACTGTAGGATTTTATACTTACATGATTTACTGTTAAAAAGGGTGAAACTCCGAGTAACAACATGTTTCAGGTTCTGTTTTAATATTTCTATAATTCAGCCTATATAACAACCAATCTACAACAATTAGAACAACATCAAAAACAGTCTGGTTTTAACGAACAGGAGAAGTTTAAACTACAGCAGTCCGCTATTCGAGGTATCGCGCCACTATCAGGCCAGTCCCCAGCTTTAATACAACAGTTACAACTACAACAACAACAACAAGCTGCCCAGGCTCAAGCCCAGGCCCAGGCCCAGGCTGCCCAACAGGCCCAGGCCCAGGCTGCCCAACAGGCCCAGCAACAACCAAAGGTTTGTGGACTTTAATTCATTATCAGTATAACCGCAACCAACTCCAATAAAAATGTAGATTAGAAACAAGCCCAAGGTACATGGACGTTGATTATCAGTACTGACATACTTATAGCTCCCTATCCCCTTCCTCTCCCCCCTTCCTCTCCCCCCCTTCCTCTCTCTCCCTTCCTCTCTCTACCCTTCCTCTCTCTCACTTCGTCTCTCCCTCTCACTCCCCTTCCTTTCACTCCCCTTCCTCTCACTCCCCTTCCTCTCTCTCCCCCTTCCTCTCTCTCCCCTTCCTCTCTCTCCCCTTCCTCTCTCTCCCCTTCCTCTCTCTCCCCTTCCTCTCTCCCCTTCCTCTCTCTCACTTCCTCTCTCCCCCTTCCTCTCTCTCCCCCTTCCTCTCACTCCCCTTCCTCTCTCTCCCTCTTCCTCTCACTCCCCTTCCTCTCTCTCCCCCTTCCTATCTCTTCCCTTCCTCTCTCTCCCCTTCCTCTCTCTCCCCTTCCTCTCTCTCCCCTTCCTCTCTCTCACTTCCTCTCTACCCCTTCCTCTCTACCCCTTCCTCTCTCTCACTTCGCCTCTCTCCCCTTCCTCTCTCTTACCTTTCCTCTTACTACCCCTTCCTCTCTCTCCCCCTTCCTCTCACTCCCCTTCCTCTCTCTACCCCTTCCTCTCTCTTCCCCTTCCTCTCTCTCACTTCCTCTCCTCTTGCTTTGCTTTTAGTTCACTAATCTGAGTTAGCCGAGAACCCAGGTTATAACCCAGGTTGGAAGTGTGGATCATAGAGCGTTTCATTTCATTAAGATGTAGAAGATTAGGGTGTATAACTCTATTGTATTTTATTTGTAGGGTAGCATAGTAACTGGGTATCCTGCCAGGACACAAGGTACTGCCCCTGTTGTTACAACTTACCAACAGTCTTCTGGCTCTCAGGTAGGTTGTTTCAGGGTAGACAGACATAGTCCCAGGGTAGACAGACATAGCCCCCAGGGTAGTTTAGTTCAAAACGTTACTGTACATCAATTCTTACCTCAGTTTATGAAGTAAATGTCGAGATATCTGAACTAGTTTCAATAGTGCTTGAAAAATTCTTCCAAAAATATCATTTTAACTTCTGAAACCCCAAATCTTATACCGCTGCAAATATCAGGTTCTTGTCAATTGTCAGATTTATTATCAATAAAACTCCTGACTGAAAGAAAAAACTATATTTTACAAGGATAACAACTTACAGTCAGAGTTAAGGACACGTATTGAAGAGTTATATTATTTTTACATATAATCCCAGTATAACTGTAACTAAATAATCAACATTGTGTTTCAGAGTAACTTTTCTAACCCTCAACAAGGTAACAGAAACACATATAATCCACAGTATAGAAATTACCAGTAAAATCTTGGTGGACTACAGACAACATCAAATATTACAACAGAACAACAGCTATAGTAGAAATAACAGATTATATTTCACTATGTATCCTGTAGATTCTAGAGAAATTATCAACATACTCAGTAAAGATTACAAGCTTAAAGATAAAATAAACTAACAGTAAAGATTACAAGCTTCAAGATAAAATAAACTAATAGTAAAGATTACAAGCTTCAAGATAAAATAAACTAATAGTAAAGATTACAAGCTTCAAGATAAAATAAACTAACAGTAAAGATTACAAGCTTCAAGATAAAATAAACTAATAGTAAAGATTACAAGCTTAAAGATAGAATAAACTAACAGTAAAGATTACAAGCTTAAAGATAGAATAAACTAACAGTAAAGATTACAAGCTTAAAGATAGAATAAACTAACAGTAAAGATTACAAGCTTCAAGATAAAATAAACTAATAGTAAAGATTACAAGCTTAAAGATAAAATAAACTAATAGTAAAGATTACAAGCTTAAAGATAGAATAAACTAACAGTAAAGATTACAAGCTTCAAGATAAAATAAACTAATAGTAAAGATTACAAGCTTAAAGATAGAATAAACTAACAGTAAAGATTACAAGCTTCAAGATAAAATAAACTAATAGTAACGATTGCAAACAATTTATACCGGATGAAACACGAAACATTTCTAGCAGTAGTAATATCTTATATATCGATATATAACTTCTACTTATATCAGCTGACAGTAATTATACATGTACATCTAGGTCAATTTGAGTTGAAATTTCTAGAAGAGAGGTGTTAATTTGAATGTGAACTTACAAAAGTTAGATGGTGTGTTTCTGAAGAAGAATAAGTCAGTTTGGAACTATTAGTGCACAAGTGCTCATTCCCTACTTCCATCTCGAGAGAAACAGCGACGATTTACTATAGCAGTGTATGGAAATAGATCTTATATAAAATTACTGTATTAATAATCATCAGATTTGTGATATACACAGCACATATAGCTCTGAACTGGCTTATCTATCTCCATCTGTTTTACTCTATATACTGTCTAGTATAATCTATATATATACTGTCTATTGTTACTGTCTAGTATAATCTATATATATACTGTCTATTGTTACTGTCTAGTATAATCTATATATATACTGTCTATTGTTACTGTCTATTTTAATCTATGTATAAAGACAAGTGCTATTGATATTATGTTAATGTTTATATATTTCTATTGTGTATTCAGTTGAAATAGTTATATAATGTCACATTATTGACCATGTTTCTTTTACTAAGATGTAAATGAGTATAGATAATCCAACTGGTAGAAAGGATATTTTATGACTTTTGTTGTTATCTTTGTATAAATAGTTATCACCACTTTGTTATAATTTCAAGCCCAGAGTCATTTTACATCAGCTTTTGTTTTCAGTAATTTTCATCATGTATAGAAGTTTTGTAGCCAAGCCAGTTAGTTTGAGAATATGGTTTCCTCTTGTCAGTGAAGCTGGCAATGTCCATTTCAGAAATTCCGATGTTGAATTACAAAACTAGTCCAGCAATGATGATTGTCTTCAGAATATAAGAAGGTGTTACTTCTTAATTTCCTATCATTGATGAAAAATCAGGATAGGAAATTTGGATGATTCTTCACAGATCATTAAATCTCATTTTATTTTATTACAAAAATGTATTTTTTTGAAGTAAGAAATTTCATTTCTTAGTAATTAAAAAAAAAGCTTGAATATCCTGTCTCTTGTTATTGTTGTTGAACTATTGTTATATTTGTTGTAAATTGTAAAAAACAGACGTATGATAATATAGCAGACGTCTTGAGGAATTAATATTATTGAGTACACAGACGTTGTTCATATAGCTGAACGGTTCTTCATATAGCTGAACGGTTCTTCATATAGCTGAATGGTTCTTCATATAGCTGAACGGTTCTTCATACTCAGTATTTCTTTCAGAGAGTTCACATAGCTAATATTGTTTACTAATTGGTGGAATGTGATATTTGGTATGTTGCAAATGTTAAGGGGAGATAATACTTTAAAAGGTTTTCATATTTCCTGACATTCAAAGCCACTTTTAAACATGTTGATATTGTCATTTGTTAAAATCAACCGATATCCTGTCAGGTTTTCAGTGTTGAATTCCGGTTAGATCATCTTTTAACTGTCACTACAACAAACATTTTTAAAGTTCTTTTTTGAATAAAACTTGAAAATTTGGTCTCAATTTTTAATGTGTCATACTGGGTAAGAAAAGGGAAGGGCCCCGGTGGACAATGACGTTATAAAGATCGTGTACTAGTAATAAAGATCTATTGACGTGTTTTTGAGGTGTATCTAACTGCATGTACTCTGTTGTCTGTGCTGGTGATTTATCGCATGATTTCGCCCACCTCGCAAATATTTTATAAAAACCATCATATCCTAGTCAAATAACGTTAAAATCTTATATCTTTGATTGAATGTGCAGCTAAGATATAATACGTGCGCTTCATTCTCGATTCTCTTAACCGACATTCTATCAATCCTGAAAATATCTGAAGTTTTTTTGGCTGTTGTACCCTGACATCTCTCAGGTATTGTATATTATATTAAAGTTTTTATTTATGTTTTAGTCTACCGTATGGAAGATGTTGGGCCAGTTTTCGGTTTCTAGAAATTTGACATTTTTACAAAATGCTATCTGCCTCTGCCTTAACCTTACTTTTAACCTAGGCCAGTGCTTCCATGGAAGAGTATCTCTTAGAAAACTTTATACTACATTAAGGAAACTTTTCTTTTAATTTCCATCTTTCCAGTTTCTATTGCTCTAATACCTTGACATCTATGAGAAATTGGAATCTTAAGTAAGGTAAATTACAAACCAGACGAAAAGTTGTGTTTTTGTTTCTCTAAACGTTTACATGTGTTACAAACGGGAATCCATTATAAGTAGGCCATTCAACAGTTTTTTTTATACTAATGTTTTATATTAATATTATTTTATCCAATTCCATTTAACGTTGATGATATTGAAGTTTTCCAGTTGTAGCAGGCTGACATCTGTTAAAAGGACAGATGCGCCATTCTGGGTGGTTGATTTGAGTCTTGAATATGTTTATGTAAAGAGTCTTCAGAAGTAACAAAATCTCATAATTCCTTTAAAAATATTTCAAACTAGGAATTTTACTCACTATTTCTATATATGTTTTTTCTATATATCACAGAATATCTTAAATTGAGTCGTCGTTTTAACATTCAAACGAGGATAATTCTGGCACACATAGATTTGAAAGCTCAAACATAGACGGTGAGCTGTGAACACTATAACTGATTGGCTCAACTAAATGAAATTCAGTTTCTGAGACTAAAGTATGATTGGTAAAAAATGGCGCATCTGTTCCTTTAAGTTTACGTTCTAGTTGCACCACACTCGATTGAGCTGACGAAGATTGGCGGTTTTTAAGTATGTAATAGGAAAGTTTTTATTAGGAGCCTGACAGAACTGATTCCGAAACTACATGATATAAATTAATGTTTTGTATATTGAAAATATCTCAAGTGTAACATGAAACGATGTAAATATTAAATATTAAAACTGTTTGGAGAACTACAGGATAGAAATATTATATTATATTTATGTATCTAGTAATTTTGAAAAGATTTCCACTATAAGAGAAATTGACGGGTTAGACAGGTAAAATATTTTTATTATAATGAATTGTCAGAAGTGACACGTCGTAAAACAAAATATATTTTATCATTATCCAATTCATCAATTTGACTTTCAACGGGCCACCTCGGTTCACAGGTAAATCATTTTATAACTAAATTAAACTATTTTACCATTAAAAACTTGTTATTTTAACTAAATACTGGAGTTAGGTTAGTGACGTGGACTAGAAACTGGAGCTAGGTTAGTGACGTGGACTAGAAACTGGAGTTAGGTTAGTGACGTGGATTAGAAACTGGAACTAGGTTAGTGACGTGGACTAGAAACAGGAGTTAGGTTAGTGACGTGGATTAGAAACTGGAGCTAGGTTAGTGACGTGGACTAGAAACTGGAGCTAGGTGAGTGACGTGGACTAGAAACTAGAGCTAGGTTAGTGACGTGGACTAGAAACTAGAGCTAGGTTAGTGACGTGGACTAGAAACTGGGGCTAGGTTAGTGTCGTGGACTAGAAACTGGAGTTAGGTTAGTGACGTGGATTAGAAACTGGAGCTAGGTTAGTGACGTGGACTAGAAACTGGAGTTAGGTTAGTGACGTAGATTAGAAACTGGAGCTAGGTTAGTGACGTGGACTAGAAACTGGAGTTAGGTTAGTGACGTGGATTAGAAACTGGAGCTAGGTTAGTGACGTGGACTAGAAACTGGAGCTAGGTGAGTGACGTGGACTAGAAACTAGAGCTAGGTAAGTGACGTGGACTAGAAACTAGAGCTAGGTTAGTGACGTGGACTAGAAACTGGAGTTAGGTTAGTGACGTGGACTAGAAACTGGAGTTAGGTTAGTGACGTGGATTAGAAACTAGAGCTAGGTTAGTGACGTGGACTAGAAACTGGAGCTAGGTGAGTGACGTGGACTAGAAACTAGAGCTAGGTTAGTGACGTGGACTAGAAACTAGAGCTAGGTTAGTGACGTGGACTAGAAACTCGGGTCTTGGTTCACAGGTAAATAATTTTAAAACTTTTAAACTTGGTATTTTTTACTAAAAACTAAAGCTAGATTAGTAGATTAGGACTGGTGGTTCGGATTCAACTGGAACGATTGAAGTAAGGTCGGATGTTTATTTTCTTTTTCAATTTTTTCAAATTTCATAATTTTACTCAAGAAAAAATATAATACGACATCAAATTTTGTCATGAAAATAAAAACTGCCACATTTCTATTCAGAGTGATCTGAAATCTTGTTCATTAGATTTTGAAAAGTGTATATATATATATATATTTCATTTTCTTCAAAATTTCTTATTGTTTTTAATTACAGTTTATCTTCTAGGATTATCAATCAAAACACTTTTTATTCTGTTATTATTATTATTTATCATATAAACATTTATATAGCGCCATCTTTCACAAAACGTGCTCAGATGCACTGTACAATAAAACCATTAAAATATATAATATAATAAAATAGACATGTAAAATATAAAATATGATAAAATAGACATGTAAAATATAAAATATAATAAAATAGACATGTAAAATATAAAATATGATAAAATAGACATGTAAAATATAAAATATAATAAAATAGACATGTAAAATATAAAATATGATAAAATAGACATGTAAAATATAAAATATAATAAAATAGACATGTAAAATATAAAATATGATAAAATAGACATGTAAAATATAAAATATGATAAAATAGACATGTAAAATATAAAATATGATAAAATAGACATGTAAAATATAAAATATAATAAAATAGACATGTAAAATATAAAATATGATAAAATAGACATGTAAAATATAAAATATGATAAAATAGACATGTAAAATATAAAATATGATAAAATAGACATGTAAAATATAAAATATGATAAAATAGACATGTAAAATATAAAATATAAAATGATAAAAAAATCTATGAATTAAAATCTTAAAATTCAGTTCTGTCACCATCGAAAATATTTTCATAAATTTTCTATCTGAATGTAAGAAAAATAGCTATTTATCGTTTTGAATGTTTTGAAGTAAACTAGATTGAAGTTACAACTATGTTTTGAAGTAAACTAGATTGAAGTTACAACTATGTTTTGAAGTAAACTAGATTGAAGTTACAACTATGTTTTGAAGTAAACTAGATTGAAGTTACAACTATGTTTTGAAGTAAACTAGATTGAAGTTACAACTATGTTTTGAAGTAAACTAGATTGAAGTTACAACTATGTTTTGAAATAAACTAGATTGAAGTTACAACTATGTTTTGAAGTAAACTAGATTGAAGTTACAACTATGTTTTGAAGTAAACTAGATTGAAGTTACAACTATGTTTTGAAGTAAACTAGATTGAAGTTACAACTATGTTTTGAAGTAAACTAGATTGAAGTTACAACTATGTTTTGAAGTAAACTAGATTGAAGTTACAACTATGTTTTGAAGTAAACTAGATTGAAGTTACAACTATGTTTTGAAGTAAACTAGATTGAAGTTACAACTATGTTTTGAAGTAAACTAGATTGAAGTTACAACTATGTTTTAAAAATAAAATACATCTAATTTAGTATATAAAATGCAGGAAAATCTTGTTTCACTTCACAAATTTAAACAAATTTTGAGATTAATCTGTTTTAACGTTTCATACAATGCACAAAACTTATTTCAACTTCAGAAGAAAATCTCGATTTGGAAACAAGAACTGAACTGGTTGTGAAAACTTGTTTTTCTGAAATATTCTGTCTCTTTATTTGGTTCACCATCTGTTAAATTTTAAACCCTTTCGTTTGTTGCAAAAAAAAAACACCAACAATTGCAGTTTGTTGGATAGCAGATATTGAATTAGAAGTGTGGATTATCGGATTTACTGGGATCTAGATAATCTATTGAAGATTTGTAAAAGGTGAGAACAAAAATGCCAAAAATTGTTTGAAAACATTCTAGAAAAATTCGGACTCAGTGACTATACAGAAGAAATTTTATCGACAGTTGAAATCTGACAGTTGAAATCTGACAGTTAAAATCTGACAGTTAAAATCTGACAGTTGAAATCTGACCTGCCTACTGGACTAGAATATTTAAAACAATTGTTAAATCTGTTGATGCAATAAAAGACAAGATCAAAAAACACCCCGAATACCGTGAATTAACAATATTTAGCCTCCATTATTGTCTAGTTAACAATAGTAAATATTAATTTCAAACTTTCTTAAAAGATATTGGAAATCGTTTTGGCCTTGACGAGGTTTTCAAACATCTTTGTAAATATTTAAAGTTGGAATCAGTTTAAACTTTGAATGAATTTTTTAGGATTTCTGAAGTTACACAAATTGACGAGGATTTTCACATTCTTTGTTTCTAAAATTTGGAGATTTTTTCTCTCACAACTTCTTCCTGATTCTTTATTTGGACTCAAATCATTTTTCACATTCTCCGCATCTACTGTGTTAGCTTGTTGTTGACATGGTTTTAACAGTTACACCCAATGTCTGTCATTTCAATACTTATTTTCAGGTCGGACAAGATGTTTTCAGCCACCATCTTATCTCTCCTGTTCTGTACCCAGTTCGTGTTATGTGATGAAACCCAGGGAACTCAATGGGACAACTTAATGAATAAAAAATTCGGCGATGGTCAAGTACCGCAACATTGGAACTGGAAGCCGACATTTGGAGGGAAAGGAAGCGAGAATCAGTTGGTACAGACTCTAGTTTTACACCCTGATGACGGACGTGGTGGGTTGTTTTTATTTCCAGAATCATTTATTGGTTCTTAAATATCATTACTTAAAGAGTCCGGTATCATAGTGGTCCGCATGAATCACCTTTGTCTCATCTGGGTTTTGATTTCTGTTGACCGTAAACTTGTTGATATTTGTGGTGTATGGGTGGTGGTCGCTGAGGAATGTCAAGAGGGGTGGGTACATTACCATAATACCCAATGTATATGTTTACAGAAGAGGTATTGATATAGAATACATTACGTATTATCAATACAGTATCTTGTTCAAACTGCTTCAATATACTTCAAGCTTTCGATTCTCCTATTACTAGGTGTAGTCATAATCTCATACCACAAACTAGACACTTCAACCATTGAATATCAAACGTTTTTCTCATTTCAGAAGCGACCCCTACCGTCCTGGCTATAAATTCTGTCATCAACACAGAAGATGAGGACAAATCCCGAGGGGACATGTTACGGCATGCTCTCTTCGATCTCGCAACACTTCCAGTTTCTAAACCAGATATACCTCTACTAGACAGTCCACATATTGAAATTCCCCTGCTCGACTTACAGAATTTAATAGTTGATCAGAACGACGGTGGGTCGAAACAATCTGTGAGCGACGATAAAAAGACGCAACAACCAACCGAGGATATCAAAACGGAACAAACTGCCAGCGACGACAGTCAAACAAAACAATCTTCAAGTGACGAAACGGTGGAAAAGCAAACGATCGTCGTACCAACTATATATCAACCACAGACTGCGGTACCGGAGGTTCTAAGGTCTTTGGCGGCCATTCCTACGATACAACAATTAAAAACGGTGGAGCCTATCACGCAACAGCCAATAACCGAGGAACCTACGACGCAACAGCCACCTCAACCTATAACTGAATACCTTATCTCTAAAGCAGCTCGAAACACTTTAGGAAGCAAGCCGTACCGTCTTCTTCCGGATTCAGACGTGGTCGTAGCAAACGAAGCAAACGGACAGCCAAGCGTTATGGTAGCTGTCGGAAACATTCCAACCATTCAGTTACCAGGCTCTGGAATCATTATTGCTAGACCGGACTCTTGGACACCTACGACAACTACCGTAGCTCCTACAACGACGACTACAGTTGCACCTACGACAACTACATCACAACCTGCACCTACGACTACGGTTGCACTCACAACAACGACGGTTGCGCCTACTACTACAACAACTACAGTTGCGCCTATAACTACGACAACTAAGGCAGCAACTACGACGACACCGACGACTAAAGTTGCGCCTACAACTACAACTACCACAACCCAGAAACCAGTCCCTTACAAAAACGTTATAGATGGTTAGTATTCCAACTCTTTTATAACTCTTTTTCTGGCTTGAAACGTCGAATCGAATGGGTCTGAAAGGAAAGGAGGAGCGCCCAACAATTTTCAATGTGAAACATGGAGCTTCATTATTGTTATTTTTGTCATGGAATCGTTTCATTCTGATGACAGAAAATTGTCACTGTTACTTTTACTACCTACAGTTGAACACGATGATTTCGTTTCGTTGCCATGATAAAAAATAATAGGTGTATATGAGTATTTTCGTCGTCTTTTTATCATCACATAGATTAAACATTGAACACTATCAAAACCTGTTCTAGTAACCAATGTCACGGAATCTCACCATTCTAAAACTACTGAAGTTTTGGGTATTGGAAATTCTTTACAAGGCAGTGAACACTCTGTGTGATATAGTATCACACGATGATTGCGTTCCGGTGTCGAACAGAATCACAACTCATCAAATATCACCCCCCCCCCCCCTCTATTTCAGGAGAATGTAATAGATGTATTTATCGAAACGGAGTAGGATTTTTATCTCATACCTCAGATTGTACTAAATTCTTCAAATGTCAGAGATTGAGTAATGGTGGATTTAGGGCTGCCGAACTTCAATGTCCATTCGGGCTGTACTGGAATAATGAGATATTCTCTTGCGATTATCCGAGAAACACGAATTGCACAAACCGTAAGTACCTGTAGCATTTTTCTTTTAAGCAGGCATAGACGTAGGCGTCTGAACTGTGGGTGGTTGTGGAGAGGAATTTACTACATGGAATTTCAATTTTAATTTATCTAAGCACTAGTAGCATATTTAAAAAAGCACCTTAGTCGTTTTCAAAATAGTTTATATGAAAAGCTCGTTATAGCTGCTACCAATGTTTCGCCAATATGCTGTTATGGATTTAAAGTTTCGTTTTGTGGTACGGGTCGTTTTTACAGGTAATTACTTTAAATTCATGGCTAAATTCTAAATTAAATGATAATAAATAACATGATTGTATAAAAAGAAAAACAACTCTTATGTAATAAACAAATTTATTTTCATAGAAATAACGATTACTTTTTTTTTTTATCAAAGTTTGATCAATCTGTACCTCATTTTCACCTTTGTTGTTATTATTATTTTTTTTATGTAAAATAACGACTTATTCATTCTTACAGAATGTTTGGTATTTTTTATATTTTGACGTGAAAATGACTGATTGGTTTTAAATCACAGAATCTTGCTCCTTTCATTTCACCACCACATATTTTAAACATCTCACACCGAACATTAAATCAAGAATCAAACTCAATTAAACTTTACATATTTTGGATTGACAGATTTAAGAATTCTTTACAAGGAAAGACCCTATAGATTTATATTTTGCATGTGATACCCTTTTAATTGGCGGTTTCGTGTTGATTAAGTTCATTTAAACAAACATTGAATAAAAAAGGGACGATTAAACATCCTTGTAGGCTACCGCTATCAAAGTAAAGAATTCTTTACGAGGAAAGACCCTATAGATTTATATTTTGCATGTGATACCCTTTTAATTGGCGGTTTCGTGTTGATTAAGTTCATTTAAACAAACATTGAATAAAAAAAGGGACGATTAAACATCCTTGTAGGCTACCGCTATCAAAGTAAAGAATTCTTTACAAGGAAAGATCCTATAGATTTATATTTTGCATGTGATACCCTTTTAATTGGCGGTTTCGTGTTGATTAAGTTCATTTATACAAACGACAAATTACTAAGGTACAAATAGACATACTTTATCAAAGTCACTATACAAATATATATATTTCATAATATAACCCTTTTTTCATTTTTCACTTGTACAAACAATGACGAACTACGGTACCAATAGACATCCTTGAAGGCTACCGTCATCAATTAACGGGTTGACGAGTGATTAATGATGTCAATTTTATATTCCAGTAATTTGCGTGCTCTATTAATAGGTTCACTCTTGTAGAAAATAATCGTTTAGACCCAAGTTTGATATGCGTCCTTTGAATTAATCTAGTATCAAGACAATTGTCGGAAAGCTAAGTTAAGTAAAGGTGAAATTAGGAATTTTAGGTTGTAACATTGAGGTTAGGTAATGTTAAGAAAGCACAGGCACATGGTTGTAAGCGTAACCTCTAATGAGAGAGTATTGTTTGTGTAGTTAATCTTGATAATGATATAAATGTATTTGTAATTAAAATCCATAATTAGGGTTTGACCACCGGACTATTTCCAGTGTTATGTAATGTAATATGTTGTTAGTTATTCTATATCATCAATATTATTCTTATCCAGACTCCTTTATTCAGATCACCGTTCTTATTACTATTTATATATATTTCTATTTCAAACCCCCTGAATCGCTTAACATCACCATTCTATGTGTTTCTATTACAGATCCCTGTACCAACACCAATACCCGATATGCTGAGATGACAGGTCATTGTGCTGGGTATTGGAGATGTGATTGGGCGACCCCAGTAGCATACTGCTGTCCCCAAGGGCACAGATTTCAACAAAGTTCACAGTTGTGTGAGGTCGACCGGACAAGAACTTGTCGTGATGATTGTTCTGGGCCTCAACAAAAGCCCAGCGGTGTTGGTAAGTTTAATTGACAGAGATACCAGTGCACCCCCCCCCCCCCCCCCCCCCCCCCCCTGAAAAGATATTGATCCGGCTTTATCCCCCACTGTCAAATCTTTATATCATTTTACATAGTAATAGAATGCCCCCCTCACCTAATGTTTCGTAGAACCGTCACTGAGAGATACCAATATGATCATGAATCATGAGAGAAGTGTTTAGTAGATTGAGTTATTTATAGCGTATGAAGGGTGGACAGATATGAGATGTCATTTATTTCTGCACCTATTAAATTACATGTATAGTATTCATAACTTGTCACCTTTGATTGGACAGTTTTTAAGAAAATCTTTAAAAAAAATATGCACGTTTCAACCCCGATAAATCCGGGTACAATAGAATGTAATTGTCTTCTTGACAAGAGACAATCCGAGTACATGATCTAGATCTGTGACTGGTAGAGAATATAACTTGGTGACTACGTACAATCTATCACCGTTACCCTAACATATCCAAATAACAATAAAAACTTTATTTAAACATACACTTCACTAAATACAGATGACAAATTCAAATCAATTTGAGTCAAACCTATTATTGTATTCACATAAGCATGAAAAGGATTGCGGAATAGGGTTTGATTTAAACAATATTTATTGATGCAAAAATTAACATATAAATTACATAAAATATATATAAATTGGATTCGGAAAAAATAACACAGCTTCAGTGAATATAAAAAAGGTATAAGTATTAATACAAAAAAACAGTGAGCTCTTAACTAAGATTTAAAAAACTAATAAAAAAGTATGTCGGAAGAAAGAAAAGACAAAAGGTAGATAAAATGCAGACTTGACACAGTATACAAAGGAGTAGAGTATTATTATATAATGTATATAACCCCCTCCACATAGCTACTATTTTTATGTCATAAATATTTGAAGAAATAATACTTCTTCAAAAACGATGTCCAATTGACTCACACATTCAAAGAGTTACTTCTGACATTAGAATTAATCAACCGCAATTATTACAATGCAGTTCAAATCGAATTAAATTTTTGGAACTGAAGAGCTATGAACCTCGAGGGTTGTCTGTTCACAAGCAGAGTTACATGTGAATAAAGTTGGATAATATTTGACTGATGGTTGAGACATGATTTCTAGTTTTTATTTTTGTCTGTCCACAGTCGAGAAGTTGTGTGATAAGAGATCAGTATCTGATAGTAAAACAGCGTTTGAACAGAGAGTACCGGTAAATAGATGGATCCGACTAGACTGTGCTCCTTCTACAGGTTTTAATCCAAAGACTTGTCTCTGTTCTGACAGAGTTAATGCCCCTGTTACACAGAAAACATCCAACAAAGGTAAGGCATTTAGTTTCTTCCATAACTTTGTTTTAAAACTGGAACATATTTTACTGGTTCAATATGAAATAATAATAAATATTATCTTTTCGGACTGCGACCGAAAACATATCGAAAAACAGTTTAACTGGGAGAAAAAGACAAAAATTTCGGGCAAACCAGCCTGCCCTCCCGACAAGCCTTCGGTTCAAAGTTGTATTGCACTGGCAAAGATAATCAAACAGACGATCAAAATGGACGTACACAATCATGTAGTTTATGGTCTAGAGGATCTTTTGAATTCCACCCGTGAACCTTTTATATCATAATATAATAATAATAATAATAACTTTACTAGAAGAATAAACAATTTCTTACAAGCTTTATAAAAATGATGGGTTATTAAAATATCGTCTTCTTTGGCCAGAGATCGGCCTTGACCTTTAATATATTGATAACAGATTCTACTTGTTCTGTTTTGCCGATTGAAATTGACGATAATCCCAACTAGCGCCACAGGCAGGCTAACGCACACCCAAAAACCATCAAGATAGAATGTCAATATAGATGATATTTTATTCACAGTGTTTAATGGTAGTAGGTAGTGGTAAAATAACTGTAAAGCAATGACATCTTAGCCACGGCAAACTATTCTTAAAACAAATGGCGCCATGCCATAACAATCGAGACACAATTAACCAGGTTTTTAAAGAACAGTGAATCGAGTAAAGAGTTCCACGTGCGCAGTCCTAGGAATATGCTTACGATAATAAAATAAATGTGACATGATAAAATTCTTGCTTGCATTTGTACTCCTGATAATCTTATGGATATAGAATTAACATAAATATCAAAATAAAAATATTTATTAGATGGATCAACTCGAATGACAACCCGAATACAACGCGAGTTATAAGAGACTGGTGAATCGCGTTATTAATAATAAAAAAATAAGGTGCGCTATATGTGACACTTTTAGAATGTTTTCAAAAGATAAATCAATAAATGTTTATAAAACAGCACACTACTCGTTGCCCAACCTTTTCACAAAGCTGTACCTTCTAATAAATGATGAAATTATTCTAAATGGTTTAGAGATGGGCCTTGGTCTATAAAACACGAAACGTATCAATCTTAAACACCTGACTTTTGAATTATTCATATCTCCTAGAATTATTGAATAATGAGAATAAAAACTTATTCAATAAAAACAATCACATTTCAACTTAGTTTCCTGATACAGTAGGTCAGCTGTCAATCATACTGAGTAAACCACGCCCACTAGACAATATGAAGGTTGAGAGAAACACTGGGTGAATTGTTATATATTATATATAATATATACAGACTAATCTCTAGGATATATCTAATCAATCAAACTATCAATCAAACCAGGGGTTATCTCAGATCACAGGTCAAAGTGTATTTTTAAGGTCATCAGTTGGTAAAATATCTCACTATGTCAAGTCGGAGAAATATATCTATGTACACCAATATCCAATATTGTTTAAGAGTATCCCATATCGTTCTGAGGTACACATTGAACAAGTTATAATCGGGAAATGAAAAATGAAATTAATGGAGTCTTAGTCGTACTTTTCTGCACCATGTGGGCTAAGACAGACAACGCCATGCAGGGTACAATAAGGGACATTTTTCCAGGACAGTGGCATTAATCTGCTTTTTTTCGATTTCTAACTGTCGAGTTATCTTTAACGTACTCAGCCTGTAGCACACGTGACGGTGTCTTGACCGCCTCTGCCATCCCGCCAGGTCATTTGAGACTTGATATTCGCGAAATGAAAACCACTTTTTTCTGAAGCAGACTGCAATAAAAAGTTGGAATGTTTTTTTTATTACGTATGACGAAACGAAACAAGATATCTTGTTCTCTTTCAACATGCAAATGTTTAGCTATCCCACTGTGGCGAGTTTGAACCTGAATTAAAGTTATCGCGCCATGTTATTTATTTTTAAATAACCTTTTATAGGCTCTTCCACTGGTTGTCTGGGAAGGTATTAAACTCCATAGATGTTTGACCATTTCCCGTTTCAGATTGTGATCCGATGCTTCATATCTCATTCAACAATGGAGTTCGAGATGAATCAAGACATCGATTCTGGATCGAAAACGTTGGAGTAACGTCTAAAGCGGGTGTGGGTTTATTTAATGGTAACAATAAGCTTCTGGTCAATCGGTTCGCCAACGCTCCACTGGGTAGAGATCTGGTGATAGAAGTGGTATATGAGCCAGCTGATAGACGTCGAGATGAAGTACTGGTCAGTAATGGTGACTGTGGGGTCAAACCGTCTCTGTATATCGTTACGGGACCAACTGGTGTCACCTTTAGTGTTAAAACAACCAGATCTTCCACTCCTTCTGTCGTTACAGTTCCTATATCAATGGTATGTTTGTTTTTGAGAGAGATGATGGTTATTCAATATCAACCAGTTACTTAATATTGAATTGTAAAGAATTTCACGTACGCACTGGCCCAGGGTTGAAGTTATAATTATAATATTTGTGATGATAATATTCAGAGTTCAATGATCAACCTATTCTATTGTTACTAGGTGATGATCAGGACCCCCACTAAAGGGTAAAAGATGTTTTTTTTATTTTGGCGGAACATTAACCATTAACTCCATCCCCCGACTAAAATTTCTAGTCTATAACGTATATTTAATAGGTGTTTGGGGATAGATTAAGGGCGTGCTACTTCCAATAAAATTGTTCTGTAATGTTTTCAGCCTAAAGGATTAATAAAGGCGAGATTATCTCTAGCAAATGGTAGATTAACAGGAGAAGTTGGTGGATTATCTAAATCTACACCAGCATCAGGTGAGTTGAACTCCGACTGACGTTAGGGTGTTTATATTGTGTACTGTGTGTTTATATTGATGTACGTTTGTTTATATTGACGTTAGGGTGTTTATATTGTGTACTGTGTTTTTATATTGATGTACGTTTGTTTATATTGACGTTAGGGTCTTTATATTGTGTACTGTGTGTTTATATTGATGTACGTTTGTTTATATTGACGTTAGGGTGTTTATATTGTGTACTGTATGTTTATATTGATGTACGTTTGTTTATATTCATGTTAGGGTGTTTATATTGTGTACTGTGTGTTTATATTGATGTACGTTTGTTTATATTGACGTTAGGGTGTTTATATTGTGTACTGTGTTTTTATATTGATGTACGTTTGTTTATATTGACGTTAGGGTGTTTATATTGTGTACTGTGTGTTTATATTGATGTACGTTTGTTTATATTGACGTTAGGGTGTTTATATTGTGTACTGTGTGTTCATATTGGTATGTGTTTGTTTATGGTATGTGTTTGTTTATAGTATGTGTTTGTTTATAGTATTTGTATGTTGTTAGTTATATTGTGTTTGTAATTCTAGGTTCAGTAGAACTAAGAAAGAGTAGTTTGATAATTGGAAGTGGAGACGGGATGAAGAAATTTGACGGAATTATGGACGATGTAAGTTGGCTATTAGGTTCACGATGATCCTGTCTACCAGCTGACCCTTAACTAAACATTTTGACACAGTCTCTTCTGGATTATTCGTATTTTCAATCTATCTAAATCATCTTTAGATAGAATGATATATTGGGTCGAATCATCTTTAGAACATTTGACTATGTTCCTTTAAAACTCCTGTTATTGAATCATCAAAGATGGAAAAAAAATTAAACGTCCAATTAAAATGAAATTGAAATATTAAAATGATACCATTATATATTTCAGGTGAAAATGTTCTTTTGTCAAAATGACGGCAAATAGAATACATAGATAGGCATGGTGTATATAGTAATTTATATGTGAACGTCACGCCGAGGATATTGTGGTATAGCTCACAGTCACTTCACTGATATAATATTATTGGTTCCACTGTCACGCTATGTTACATCACGTCACACTACATCGCGTCTTAACGTCACGCTATGTTACATCACGTCACACTACATCGCGTCTTAACGTCACGTTACGAACATTGAACCATACCGTCCATTTTGACGGTTTGACACGTCTTGTTGGTGTCGTTGTGCAAACCTTGATTTCGTGGATCAGGAATATTTTTTGAAAAATAAGATGACTTTGTTGAATGTAGGGCTGTTGACTTTTTGTTTTGTAAACTTTACAAATTTGAAAAAAAACATAAGAAAATGATGCTGAATTTTAAAGGACCATACGACATTTCAAAGCCTGTATAGTATTTCAATTACTATTATATACGTCATGGATAACGAATTTCGGAGTAAGGAAGGGGCACAATTTTTTCAGACGGAACTGGAATTTGGAATAGAAATACTTTCCATTTAAATAATTTATTTCTGTGACTGTATTATCTTCAGTCAATTGAAGTTTCTTATAAAGTCTCTATTTATTTTCTCAATTTAATTTATACACCAATAAACTAATATTTTGTTTCTATATTGTTTTCTATCACTGGCTCAATAATTAGCAGGATTTTATTATAATAAACCA